AGAAGAAGAAGAAGAAGAAGAAGAAGAAGAAGAAGAAGAAGAAGAAGAAGAAGCACCAACAACGACGACAACGACAACAACAGGAGGAGAGGGATCATGGAGATCAACGTAAACTAGTCCTTTTTTTTCCTTGACTCAAAATGTTACAATTTTTGTGACTCGACCTGCCCAGGAAAATCGAGGTTGATATGGGATAATAAGATGACAGTGCTCCAAACTGTTTAAAAATCTGGCTTGTGGGGGACCTCTTCCTTTATCCCGATTCTGCAACGCGTGAAAGGCATCGAAAAAGTGTGGACACAACTCAAAAACTGACTGCGTTCGCAGGCTAGGACGCCTTCCTGCTTATTGTCAGGTAGATCAGGTGCTCATTTTAGCAGACGGTGGCCTGAAGGGTGTTTACCCAAACAAAAGGAGGTAACATTACTCTCTTCCAGGCGCCCTGTCTGTCGGAATTAGGCTCGTTGCTTGAAGGCCTGATTGTTTTGATTACATATTTCATCATAATTTGTAGTCTAAAAAAGACATCGTTTTAGTTTTAGTCCCACACACACGCCACATCTAGGTCACTTTAAAGGCTGGGGCTTATGGGTTGAAATCCTAACCCTCAGTGATGTGGGTTAAATGTAATGTTTTACGATGCCAAGGATGATATATTTTAAATTCAATTGAAGCGCAAGTGCAATTCCCCCCCCCCTCCCTCACAATCTTTTGGCTTTTGTCCATCCTCAAGTGTGATTTGAATAAGCCAAGGGAACGTTTAATCATCACTCTGGCTCAAAATTTTAACTTTTATTGTATTCTTAATCTTAGTTCATGTTTTCATTATCTCGAACTATGCACAGAAATCTTCAAAGAAACCGTACATTTCTCGTTCGAATTCTGATTACAAGTTTAGCGTTGGGCAATAGTTGAGCGTCATAAAAGTCACTTCTAAAGCGACTCTCTTGGTTCACTCCTATATAACGCTTTCTCTCTCTCTCTCTCTCTCTCTCTCACTCTCTCTCTCTCTCTCTCTCTCTCTCTCTCTCTCTCT